CAGGCCCGGGGTGACGGCGGCCGTGTCGCCCGCAGCGGAGGCGGCGGAGCTGCGGGAGCGGCTGCGCGCCGTGAAGCACACGATCCTGGTGCTCTCCGGGAAGGGCGGCGTGGGGAAGAGCACCTTCAGCGCCCTCCTGGCTCACGGGCTGGCGGCAGACGAGGCCAAGCAGGTGGGCTGCGCGGGGCGGGCCGGGCCGGCCGGCCGGGCGCTGCGGTTTGAAGCCCGGAGGCGGAGGGTCTCGGGGCCGCGGGCGGGAGGAGCTGGCAGGGGCCAGCACCCGCGGGCGGCGTCCCCCGGCTGCTGCCCGGCGGCACACCGGGAATAACCAAGCGGGGGCACGGCCGCACTGATCGCGTTCCCCTTCTCGTTGAGGGTTTGAACTTGGTTCGTGTACTAAGGGCGCTCGGGTGTTTTCGTTGCGTGATTTAGACTTTGGAGACAGTCCTGCACGAGCTTGTTTCCAGTGGGGTGGGTTGGATGGTTGGTTTGTCTTCCAGGTTGCTCTGCTGGACATAGATATCTGTGGGCCATCAATCCCTAAAATGATGGGTCTAGAAGGAGAACAGGTAAGTGAATGCTCAAACATGTTGTTTAAGGGACTTCTGCTCAATTTTTCATTAACTTTTTAGGGTTTTGTAGATTTAAAGCTTGTAAAAGGACTGCTTATTGGGAAATGTGTGTGGCGGTGGGTAGGGAAATAAAGAAGGTGAGATGGAGAAGTTCAGTACAATTTAGTTTGTAAAAAGAGTTGTCCGATTTCAGGATGACCAGTTCTGCAGACTTAACTTTTACTGCGTATCGGCCACATATTCATGACTACTTAAAGCTTAAGCAATGTTAGCATGATGCTCTTTATCAAAGCTAGAATATTTTATATGAATATATAAAGTCACAGGTACATTTCTTGCAAAAAGGTTGAACAGTTATTACTCACTTACTAATGGAGATCTGGCCCTTCTGCAGTTTTTAACTCAGCTGCTCCAGTAAAGCAGTATTGTACCTATAGGCAGGAGATCTATTTACCCTGTTTTGACTTACATTACATAACACATGAATGTCCATACCTTTTTCTAATGTAATTTTATGTGTCACTTCAATTTTCAGGTTCATCAGAGTGGATCGGGATGGTCTCCAGTGGTAAGTTGGTGCAGCTGTTTCAGAAAGTTTGTTGGGTTTGTTTGGGTTGGGCACCATCTTCCAAGGTGAAAAACGAGTGAGGGAGGAGCAGAGGGTGCTTCTATTAATTCTTTTTGTAATGACGTAAATATCTAGATTCTGTAGAATCTGGATACAGGCTATATAGATCAGAGTATTAAATTTATTTTGTTAATCACAATAATACAATATTTCTAAAATAACCTTATTATTTTAAGTGTCTCTTGTTTACTGATTTTCCTAGTAGACTATAGGTAATAAGCATAAGTTACTTCATTTCACTGGTTTTGGTTATCACACAGCTGTATAGTATGTCACCTTTTCAATGACAGACAAAAAGTGTCTTACACCCCAAAAAAACCCTCGTTAATTATTAGAAAATGCAGGGAAAGTTTTTGCTTGTGTATGCTGTTAAAAAGACAGCTTGATGCTGAGAGGGAGAGTTGCTTTTAGCCTTCTCTCCAGTGATTTCATAAACCACTGTAAATCTTACTACAACTGGATTTTTTTCAGTCTGTGAATGTAGTTGGTAAGCATTGCACAAAACCTGTAGGTTTTAATGGCCTTTGATAAAAGGGATGCATAAGGTTGTTTGCCTTTATTTTCTTAATGTCTCCGCCCCCTGCCTCCCAACTGCTTTTTCTATAAAATCTGGGTTTAGAGTTGGTTTCTCTACTCTTTCTTCACTGTTCTGTATGCTTTACTGAGTTTCTGCACTTCTCTTTCAGTACGTTGAAGAAAACTTAGGTGTAATGTCAGTGGGGTTCTTGCTTAGTAGTCCTGATGATGCTGTCATCTGGAGGGGACCAAAAAAAAATGGTACGTATCAAGCGTTTTCAACAATAATTTATGTACTTGAAAGATTTAATATCACGAGCTTGTTTAATTGTCGTGGCCAGCAACTAAGCACCACGCAGCCGCTCAGTCACTCCCCACCCACCCAGTGGGATGGGGGAGAAAATCCGGAAAAGAAGTAAAACTTGTGGGTTGCGATAAGAACGGTTTAATAGAACAGAAAAGAAGAAACTACTAATGATAATGATAACACTAATAAAATGACAACAGTAATGATAAAAGGATTGGCATGTACAAATGATGCGCAGTGCAATTGCTCACCCCCCGCTGATCGATACCCAATTAGTCCCCGAGCGGCGATCCCCCGCCCCCACTCCCTCTCTCCGCCCCCCCCCC